TCTTGGTGTTGCTTTGAATTATGTATTATCATCTTCATCATCATCATTATCACAAAACGTATGCGGTTAATGCTGTACGACAGCCAGGCTATCTCGCCTACAGAGAAGTTCATTCTATTGTAAAAAAAAAGTTTTATTCACTTTTTTCTCTCTTTTATTTATTGATTTCCTTCTCTCTAACATGACGTTTCTGTTAATTTTTTCTTTCTCGCGCGCTTATGGTTGTTGTGGTTTTTGCTCATTCATTGAGTGAATAACAACAGCAAATGAAGTAACAAAAAACTTAACAACATTTGACACAATCCTCGATCCTAATCTAATCAATGTAGACCGAAGAAGAATTACGAAATGCTACATCGAATTGCAGCGAACCGAACCACAACCTAAGATTGACAGCGTCGTGCTCTCTCTGTTCCTCTTTGGTATATTTTCATCATGCACCCGGATGAAACCAAAGGTAATATAGAACAATAAGTTTATTGAATTTACGTTTGATAGCAACGCGGTCACGCGCGTTCTACAGATTCAATCGTCTTGAGTATATCATCGCCGCCACGATCGTGCTGCTATTCTTTGGCCCCTCACTTCACATCATTTTTACTGTGTTCCTTTAAACCGTTCAACCACACAGGCAGTGAGACAGTGAGATAAAAAAAAAAAACACTTGTTTTGAAAACACAATATGCCACGTACATTACCTAAGTATTGTATGTTACACGGAAATTTATGCTTTGGTTTGACTCAAATTTGATTCAATCGCTTCGATGACGACGATACCGCGGCGGCGACGATAAAGACGAAGAAAAATAAATACCCGCGACACTTGTGGTTGATTTTTTCTCTTCTAAATCTAATATTCGCAACAGCGACAGGATGAGTTCGTTTTTTTTTCACGATAATATACATTCGGTAACAATTGATATTTCCAATATTTGCGCAAAAGACAATACACAACGGCTGCCGAAACAGATTTTTTATGTGATGGAACTTGAGATGGTAAAGTGACAAATGTGCGTGCTGTATACACCATAAAAAACGATGCGACTCAGTGCACAGGAAAAAATTTCGCGTTCGACACACATAAAATGTTATTATGCTTCGCATCGTTTATATCCATTTTCATAAATGCCATGCACGCTTTCGCTCACCGAAATCAATATAAATATTTCTTTTTGGTTTCATTTGTTACAATAAATGTAAACCGCATTTTTGCCATTGAGAGTTAATTATTATGACAAATAAAAGTATGAATAAAAAGTACGATGCGACGAATGAAGCATTCGGTGACATTTTCACTGCAGGTACGTATGAATGGAATTTTATTATCGAAAGAGAAAATGTTTTGAAGTGCGTACTTGCGTATATGTTAAGAAAGAATTTAAAGGAATTACAGTAGACGCAAATAATAATATTTGAAAATTGTGAATAAGAGACGTTTTTTTGAGGGGAGCAGACAAAAGCGCATAACTTGATAAATGAATTTCAAAAATGTTTTCGTCATTATGTGCTCCGCTCGCAATCATAAGGGTTCGAATAAAAGAAAAAAGTGTAAATAAAAATGATTGTGGTTTTTTTGAAAAGCATGGAAGGCTTTGATGGAACTGAATATGGGTTAAATATTAAACTTTGCATCCAAACTTCTGGGGCCGAGAGAAGACAAAATAACAGAGAAGAAGCTTAGAAATCACTTTAAATTGGATATGTCATGTTGTGTGTGTGTGTGTGTGTGTGTGTGTGTGTTTGCGTGTGTGTCTTTTTCATCGGTTTCATTCAAACCAATAGAAATTTCTAGTCATATTCAATAGAATTCACTCGTTTCAACTTTGCTGTGTTTCATGCCAATGCCACTGTTGAAAGATGCTTTGGGTTTTTTTTCGTCTGATATGAAATGCGCGCACTCAAATTCTCTCATACGGAAAACATTCGAAATTAAAGCGCCCCCAAACAATAGCAGAACAATTTATTCACATTTATTATACAGAAGAATGAAATTCGGAAAATTTTGCATTTTACTGTCGTCTCTCACGACAACCAAAGCAATATCATATGTATTCGAAGTAGGTGAACATTTGTACACAAGCGACGACAAAAATGAGCAAAAGCAAGTGAATCCACCATACACATGCATACACACACTTATCATAATATAATGTATTTGTATGGCGGTTATTCATCAGAGGCCGGATTTTGGATGTTGAATGTATAGGATGAACATGCGGCGGGAGGAAATCACGAGAAATACGCGAATTTTCATTGTTAACAATTCATTGTATTGCATTGGTAACGGTGGAATATGGCATTCTATAAAATGCATGTGTGCGCGCCCCACGTAAAAGCGTCGACTTCGGCTTTTCACTTCACTCATTTTTATTTTTCTCTCGATTGCTGCTGCTGCTTGTATTGCTTCTATTTTCTGTTTGAGCTTTTTCAGCCATTCGCCTTTATATTCTTACATATTCCTATTTCGTATTCACATATAGGTATTGCTTTGGAATTTATTCGAGTACCTTTCAATTCTCTAATGCCATTCCATGTGATTCAATGTACGTCGTCATTAGAAAATGCGGACGAATACGCACCGAAACCGTATATAAATAACAAAAGATGCCGGAGATGCCAAGCAACTGATTCTGAATGTTATTGTGCAAAAATACGTTACCGACAACAACGCCGAATGACGGAGAAAGAGAGCGACAAAGTCAAAGCGAGAACGTTCAGGGGGAGATGAAGAAAAGCACACAAAAACGATTAAGAGGTGTAATGTAATTTTGCTCGTTTTTTCTGTCTCAGTCTTTCCTTCACAAATTGCCGGTCTCGTGGTTACCATCTTTTATGCTATTTTGCCGATGCTCAAAGCATACTCAAGCCAAACTAAATAAAAATCGAAACAATAAACATCGGAAACATGCAATGGATGTGTACTTGCCATTCCACCACTTTGCCTCATTCAATCGAGGTAATCAAACTGAATGACTTTAAGTGAATTTAAGCGCGGCAACCAAATCAATAGCATCACACACACACAGAGAGAGAGAGAGAAATAGCACAAAACAACATTCATCTGAACTCATTTATTACTTTTTATGGATCACAATGTATGTGTGTGTGCAATGAATGGTACGAGCAAAGTTTATGCTTAAAATGCTCGAAATCGAAAATTGCATAAATTCCAATGATACATTGACGTCGTCGAGAGCAAACATATTTATTTTAGACATTTCATTTGTTCGATATTTGGCCCTAACAATATTCTGGGCACCAAATTCGAATCGAAAATCGCAATTTGGAAATCAACGCACCAAAGGTGAGAATATTGTAAATGCCATCGTCGATATCTTCGATTTCTTTCTTTTTTCCATTCCAATTTTCTTCCTGCTAATGCCGCTCTCTTTTATTCTTCATTCAAAGTGTGCGCGTCACTGGCGCGTAAATTATGTAAATATATAATTGAATTGATGCGATTAACGGCACTAAAATTCGAACATGGAAAGCAAAAAAGCGTATATACTACGTGCGATTGCTATATATATATATATATCGATCCAATCAATTGTAAGATGGCATTCATTTGCAGCTTCGAATGTGTGCTCTGTTCAAGCACCGACGTGTGATATGGCGCCTAGATACGAAATCAAATACGTTTCACATTAAAACGTGAATGGTCGCTTTCCTTTTTTTAACACTCCAGCTCTCTCGTTCCGTTCGTAATATTCGAAGATTTAGTGTCGTTGAAAAAAGGAAACGGTAATCAGATGCATTAGATTGAAGAAGGTTGTTGTTTCTTGTTATGTATGTGCTCCTCACATCATACTCCATTTCCGAGCAGCTAAATGTACTTTATTGATTTTTTTTTTCGGTTCTTAATAGTTTTTCTTATGGAACGAAGTGAATTTTTGGTGTGCGCATTTACTATATAGTGGCTGGTTGGTATTTTTTCACAATTTTATTTCCCCGTTGAGCAGCTGCCAAAGCATATCTGGCATTTTTGAGATTTCCTATTCGGGTAAGGTTATTAAAAAACTTCGGCTATGATGGAAAATGGAAAACGGTGCAACGAAAATGTGAAAATCAAGCTAATTATAAATATTTGAAATGAAAATGTTCATACATACACGAAAGTGCGAGAAAGAAAACGCATATACTGAAATTCTTCATTCATTTAAATGGATGGAAATTACGCAATTGAAATTATTCTCTCCCTTGATTTTCGTGGCTGACATTGCGTTTGCTTGCAAATGCACACACACACATCGGAAGTTTACTAGTTAAGTTGAATTTGTCGTTTCGTCTAAAAATTCTATAGTTTTTTTTTGCTATTTTCAATTTTCTTCTTAAGTCGATCCTTACAAATGTAATTATTTTTGTTTCAAGTCATTCCAAGCCAATCATAAAATTTTAACATCACTTTTTAAGAGTTGGATTGGCATTGTGCAGGCTTCATATTGCTGTCTCGACCGCGCGCGCTCTTTTTTTTTCAAATGAATAACAATGCGCCATGTTGTGCAATCGACAGCAGCACATACACATATTGTGGTCCGTGTATATCTGGCAACTGACTTCCTTGCGCCAGTTCACGTATTCTCTCTCATTCTCCCCAATTTCGGATTCTTACCATACGGATTCCGTTTCGTGAGTGCATTCTTGTCTTTAATTATAAAGTCATTTAGAAATTAACTTCTCCTTGTAGGGTTTTAGACTTTAAAAGCGTAAGCAAGCAAATGACTCGTCGATAAGATGCCATACTACTCTAACTACTCTAGAGAACATTAAATGATGTGGGAGCAATATAAAATTGACGTTGCCTCTCTCTCTCTCTCTGTTCCTCTGTCTCTCTTGGAAACACGCTGAAAGCCAAACATATTTTAATTTTCATCTTTCTTTTTATACTCGTCATCATCTTATTCTTTGTCATTTTCTTATTCTTCTTTTTCCTTTCTTCTAGATAATTATAATTTAGTCGAATATAACACTTAATGTGGCATGATCAAAAATCTACTTACCGCACATATGTTTCCATATCCCCAATTTATCATCGGCAAACAGGCAAATCAAGCCACGGAATATCTGCAATGTAATTGAAATGAGAGAAATATTAGAATGGAAAAGAGAGAAGAAAAAAATATTGAGAAATTTACTTGGTAATTATATGGGCAGAGATATTCACGCAAATGCTTGTATCATTCAGAAAATTTGGAAGCCGTATAGCTGCGCATTCGATTGCAACTGAAACGATCGACCGAATGTGGAATGTGTAACAAACATACATCTAATGGTTATACTTTGAAGGCACTTATTAGTCTCAACCTCCCAAAACCAAAATTCAGTTTCAACTGAATCGAAGACATAAACATATAAAAAATAAACACCGAAGACAAATGAAAATGGACATTGTTTCAATTAGTTTTCATTTTTCATGTTCTTCCGAAGACGGTGCTTCATTAATTTTCTTCAGTTATTTTTTTTAGGAGGGGTACATATATAAATGTTCGAAATTCATTTCCTTGTCAGACAGTCGACGACAGCAATGTTGTTTTTTTTCTTCTACGTTTGTCATTCATTGACATATTCAAAGATTGAGAGTGTGAGTAATTGTTGTCTCTTCCGTGCGACAACGACGACATTTCTCCACAATTTCGTCTATTTTCGATTGTTTCGATGTACAAAAAAGATATGTATAAATTTTTATTATACTTCGACACTCCATCAACGTTGAGGCCATTTAATGCATGCACTCTTTTTTTTAATTTTCATCGTCTTTTATGTTATTATTATTGGTTTGAGAGAGAATGTAGCATCGACTGCCGACATGCAAGCAATTATAAAGACTTCTTTTCTGACTTTTTGAAATTCTCATGAGAATTTTTTCTGTTGTTTTGGAAAAGATTAACCTCATCGTTCGATCTTCGCTTCATTGCGTTGTTGTATAATGTCAAGAAATATTTCTTCTCCTTACGTCTTTTTTTATAGTTCCCTTTGTCCCCTTCACACGCATTTCGGTTGTTATAATCAAACATCTGAGCTGCAATGTCATTTACAACCATTTTAAATTAACTTATAATTTTCCAAAGAAGTCGTGTAGTAATTTTTCGGTCTATATAAATGACAGATGAAATTACTTTACAATTAACAATCACCGAAAAATCAATCATACAATAGCAACAGCACAACACCCAGAACGGCATATGCACGCCGTTCTTGTGAAACATTTTTTAAAAAAATTGAGAGAGAGGACCGAAAAATTGGTACACCAATTGTAGCAGCTTGTGTTTTATGCTGATGTCGATGCTAAATGTCATCATAATGTTCCATGTGGCATGTTTCGGTGTACATTTACAATACAATATTGTGCATGTCTCTTTTTGATGTGTGATCTTTAGTTTTAATTTGCTTGTTTACAAATTCTACCAAAAAATTTTGGTTGTTTGCCCAACGCAAAAGAAAATAAGAATCTAACACCAATCGTCCGACAATATTCCATTGGACAAACGGCTCGAATCTCACCATTGAAATTGTTTGTACCGGACAGACTTTTGGTCAACAATTTCCAAGAGATACACGGACGAAGAAAAAAAAATGACACCAAAAATTGTGAACGAAGAGAAAATGTGCAACATGAAAAATCGTTCAAGCCAAATGTTTGTGTGTGCGGTTTTGAATAGCATTTTAATTGCACAATATGCAGTTTGTGTGCGTAAATGTATGAGAGAAATTCAGGGTAAAAACACAACATACATCATCCTCTTTCAATGTTGCAGAAAAGCAACACAAGCAACAGTATTAGCTACTGTCGATTTTCTACAGAAAGGCAACTGTATGGCACTCTTGATGAAGTCGGTCGTTTTAGCACTCCAAAAAGCATTTTCCGAGCACACTTCGACTCTATTTCTCTCTCTATAGAATGTGCAACAAACATATCGAGCCATTTTCACCAAAAATAATATGGATACAATTCATTACGTAAATAGCAGAAACCATAAGCATATATTCGTAAATGCAATGAAAACGGACGGATCACAGTGCATACACACAAACAAATACTCGAAAGACGGATACTCTCTGAAACTTCATTGCCAACAAATGCAGATAAAATCAAATTGACTCTTCAAGTGACACATAAACTAAAACATTTTCGATGTATATTTCCACCGTAAAATGTTAATTCAAAATCTCTGTGTTAAAATAACCCCTTGCACAATGATTTACTTAGTTAATGTACAAAAATACACACACACACACACACAAAACATCTACGTGGAAAATGAATTACTTATGAAAAGTGCTATTAAAGCAGCAGTAGCAACAACAATCAAATCATCATCATCATCATCTCTATCGCTGTTTCGTTCCTCTTTTTTTTTCGTTTCGACGACGAGTAAAGAGTTTTAAGTTGTGAAATGAGTTGATTCATTTGTGCAAATGGAATCAAACAGATAGGAGACAGCACATTGAATTACGCTAGAATTGATTTGTTATTTTCATTTGCAACAAAGGCAATTCTACTCGTTGAATAATACCATCATTAGGATTATATAAAAAGAACTCGTTTAGTCCATTATAAAATGAAATGATCGCTTTTTTCTGCTCTTTCTTCATCGATGTTTTAAAATATTCACATTTCGTAAATAATTAGAGCGTAACTATCAATCGAATGTCGTGCTGTGCTCATTTGCCCGACAAATTCAACACATTTTATTGACCAGGAGCACCCCAAACGTGCACTCACAAACACACGCTCGCATCAATCGAAAAAATTGAAATCTCTTCGAATAGAGTTGAATAAATTATTATAACTACACCCTTCATGATACGGTTGTGATCGTCTTCTCATTTTTGACAGGCATTTGATGAGAGCGAGAGATGAGAAAAAAACTTGTTTTTCTTTTTAGAGAAAAAAAAATACAAATCGATTGAAACTAACCCTCTGAGTTATTATTTCAACATTTTGTGATTCGTTTAGGCTTTTTGATGTTATTTTGTTGTTTCAATATCAACCTCTTCCAATTGAATGTGGCCAACCCGAATTTTATTCCATACAACATTTATTTCACATTCGATGATCGTTATTGTGTTTCATATTTTACTTTTCTCTGTTACATCGTTCACCCGAAACAATTTTTTTCCATTCACATTTTGTTCCGTGTTTCTCAAATCTCTAGGACAAATAGGACTGAAAAAAAACGCATATGTATTTTTTTTTGTTGTTGTCCTTCTTCTTCGAAGACGAATTGAAATAGACAAGGATGATTTGTTGTGCATGTGGTTGCTCTAGCTAACAAAATAGTGTGCTTAAATCGTTGGATCTATTTCGGTTTTATAAACTGTTGAACAATAAACAGAGAATAAAAATAACAACAACCGAACAAAAAAAAAAAAATAACGAAATCGTGGATTGAATATGATCAAAATTGATACTATCTCAATTTGAAGAGACGAATGAAAAGGTGAATGTGTTATGAAACAGTCTGTCGATGCATTGCTTGCTGACGCGATGAAACAGATAAACGTCTGTTTCCGCCATCATCACACTGGAATCGAAAACTTTCCGAAACGAGAAGAGTTTTTAACATTTTGGCTCGAATTCAATTCTCTGACCATGACATCTTTGCATAGTTCGTTTTTTTTATTTGAAAATTTATTCAGTCGTTTGCAGCATCTTCAGCATAATAGTACTACTAAAACAGTTATGGGGCAAAAGGTTTTGCGTGTTGATATCAATACCAAAGTCGCCTATCTGCATGCACTCTGAATGCAATAGTTTCTCTCCATGGTTATTCACGGTTGTTGGTTGAGTGCCATTATTTCATTTATAATACTTATGATTATTACATTGAAAATGTGTATTATCCTGAAATCATTACCATGAAATTTATGTGCGACGACCATCTCTTTCTCTTTTACTCACACACATACACATTGTGCCCAAAAAACGGTGTACGCATATGCACAATTCTTGTTTTGGTGTGTGTGCGTTTTGTTTTGCGTGCGTTTTTTTATGCTCGTCGAGATTGTGCTGTTGAAATGAATGAGTGCAACTAGTTGGAATGAAAAGCCGATTTGAATAAATGCGATCATGTCGAATGAAGTATTAAATGAGGGTAACAGAAAAATAGAAACTTGATGAAATTAAATCATATTGAAATCCATTGTGTGAGAAAAATGGCTTGAATACACACACATGCCCACACTAATATGTTCAGATATTGTTGCATTCTGAAGAAGAAAAAAAAAACACATAAAGGAATCGGTTTTCTCTCTTTGTCTCTCACACTCGTCCTTAACTAGCGATGTGTGACTCCGTGAACTAGTTTTACATGCTAAATCTCCTCGTTCATTTCCATTTCTAATTCGGTTCTTTGTCGACATCGTTTTTATTGTTTCGGTTTTCGTCTGGCTCATATAATAGCGGCTCGTGTAAAATAACACCGAAAATTTTCGTAATGCATTCATTCTAAGCCATTAAATATGTAAATCGCGTTTCAAGTCAAAACTCATTCATTCTCTCAAGTAGTTCTAGCGCGTTGCCCTTTTTTCCCAAACTATTTTTTTTATCTATATCAAATGTACTTGTATTCATGACCTTAACGCTCAAAATGCTCACTGGCCAATAATCATAACAAACACAATCACCGTAACGAATGCGGTTCAAAGTATTTTCAAATGGTCGTTTGATGAGCATTCAATGGCATTTAAATTTTTGGTTTAAATTTACATCAAAACTCTCAAGCCAAATTGGTTATGGTTGATTTTGGTGCATTTTCTATATCTTTCCAAGCGTGAGTGGATTATAAAACTAACTAGTGATGAAGATTTCTTCAAGAAAATGATAATTACTCGAAAATAAATGAATAAACGGTAAGAAATTTAACAAAAAACCTTCCGGTAATACAATTGAGGTCTGAAACCATAAAAATTGGGCTTTGCAATGGTTTAATTTCATTTAAGACCAAAAGTAAATAGAATTAATGACAAAGAGATGGAAAGTAATATGTGCTAAAAGTATTATACATTCAGAAATGAAATCGCACTTTTTTGTTCCGGTTACTTATTTTGTTTCAACCGTATAGT